AATGGTCATTTGTGCCATAGAAATGCTCATTTATGCCACAGAAATGGTCATTTCTGCCATAAAAATGATCATTTGTGCCACAGAAATGGTCGTTTCTGCCATAAAAATGGCCATTTGTGCCATGGAAATGGTCATTTGTGCCATAAAAATGGTCATTTGTGCCATAAAGATGGTCATTTGTGACATAAAAATGGTCATTTGTGCCATAGAAATAGTCATTTGTGCCAAGCGTTTGTTACAGACAGACAGACACACAGACAGACATACAGACGGACAAACAGACACAGGTGAATTACGGTTTCTAGACCCTAGCCTTTCAGTCTAGGGAATATGGTAATATGTTCAACTAAATTCAATTACCAATTCGTTCATCTACAAGCTATTTTATTTATTGAATATGTCTCTATTGGCGAATTAAAGTTAGGTTTTATTAATAAAAATTAAATACTTATTGATATATGTTAGTAAAAAAAAGAACTTAGATTTCTGTTTTAAAAGTTTATTTTGTTTGTTAATATAATCAGGTACTTGGTCGTCGTTCAAATATTTGATCTAATTTAATAGCTTGATCGTAATTCTTAATTCGTCCTTGTTCAGCTTCATTGATTAATGTTTGAATTTCTGGTTTAGCCAATAATTCCTTACAAGCATTATAAGATGGTGTAAGACCACGTAAATTAAGTGTTATCTTATTTATTTTTTTCAATTCAGCATAAGCTTCATCCATTGTTTCAATTAATCGTTTTTTTTTCAATAATTCCACACCTGTTTTATCTTTTCGACCATCTTCAGCAGCTAATTCTTCAGGTGAATACATATTAAAAATAGACAGAAGAAGATTAGTAGCATAATAAAGAATGAATCGTTCACCAAATTGAAATCCTATAATAAGAAATAATATTTCATTAGAGAAAAAAACAGCATTTATTTATTTTACCATTTTCAAAATGCTGCAAGACAAATGGATGAGCATGTGCTTCGATATTGACAACAGATAATTGTTGACTATCACCAACTTTAAGTATAGCTGCAATATTATTATATGTATCACAATAATTTGGTGCCGAAAATAGTGAAATAAGTACAGGAAAATTAGTACGAGATGATTTGCGGAAAAATCGTATACCATTTTTTTGTACTTCATGTCCACGTATAATCGATAAAAGATTATTTCGCCGTAAAAAATCTTTACAAGTATTATAGGAAAAAAAATATGCACAGTGACGAGTGGTATTTGGTTTGAACTCAGATTGTTGATTATTATCATCATCAAAATTTTCACTTGGATCAGACCAAAGTAAATCACATAATGGACCTGAATGAGGAGTTTCAATAAAACGATCAAGATTTTCAATATCCGATAAAGTACGAATATCAGGTGATAAACCGCCATGCATACATAGAAAATTTGAATCAATCAGTGCACATACTGGTAATGTATCGAAAGCTTGCATAAAAGCCTTGTACAATGTCCGTGAACCATATTTTTTCTCACATTCCATCTTAAATTGAAAGGCTTTTGTCATTTGACGAGTTTCATGATTTCTTTGAAAAAATATAAGTGAAAATTTTTTTTTTTTAGTAACAATAATATAGACACAAAGAAGTCTAACTTGAACGATCGATCCGCGCAATCTGCCAATATCAAAAAGTTTTTAACCTTTTTTTTCCCTATTTTAATTTTCTGTTACCTATTTATCTCGTCTCAACTGTGCACTATCGAGAAATATTGAACAGTCAATTAGCAATAAGTAACCGCTGTACCAATTCGAATTATATGGCAATTGAATTTTTCTTTAAACTGAGCAATTTTAGATCATTATTTAGTTTGACTCATAGTAAATCGTATTACTACAAAGAAAGATTGTAACATATCATATCACACACAAGATTGATTGGTATCCAAGACTAATACATAGTCGATATATTTGGTTATTTTCTTTCTATTAGCAGTTTTAGATTTATAAATACTTTAAGAAAATCAAGAATGAAATTATAGTAAGATCATACAAGATTAGAAAGTGATCTAGTCGTAAAGAATTTTGCCCTAATAGATTTTGAAAACAACTGTCCGAAAAGAATAAAGAACTCCAGATTTAAATTCTCAATTAGGGCACTAGAAACGCCTTTTTTTTCTCATTATAAGAATTATAGAAATGTTTTTCTTTAATTTTGAAATAATTATGTATGTTCAAACGAATGTTGTGAAATTTGGTCTCGAAAAAAGAAAAAAACAACGTACCCTCGAAGTAAATTAAAGTTTTGTGGATAATTAATTTTGAGTGCAAACAATAAAAATACACATTCACATGCAAATAGTCCTCGATCAACATAATCACCTAAGAATAAGTAACGTGTTTCAGCTGGATTACCACCAGCTGCTAATATTGTTAAAAGATCATAAAATTGTCCGTGAATATCAGCGACAATCGTTACGGGTTGTTTAATACGTAACATATTAGGTTCACCTTGGAATATTTGTTGCGCAAGTTCAATAAGACGTAAGGCACATTTTTCGTCAAGATGACCTTCTTCTTGCAAATGTTCTCTTAAAAGTGGAATAGATGGTAAACAAGAAGATGAATCAAATAATTGATCTTCAGTTAATAAACGCGTTCGAGGATATGGAATCGAGTTTATTGGACGATCAGGAGAAAGGCTATCCATTAGTCAACAAGCACAAATTATTGATGTGATTTATCACGATATAATGTACAATACGTATTTTCACGATGTAATCTAATGCGCAAAATGACGACAAATCCACATACATATTTCATCTGTATTATGATTGTTCTGTTCTCTTCTATGATAAAAAAAGCAACTATGTTCTTTTTTCTTTTCTTTTTTCTTTTTTTCCTCTATTCTTTGAATATATGCAAAAGAACAACATTCTCATCTTTGTTTTTGTCTTCTACGCACAGGTGGTGCAAATGAATGAAAAAAGAATAAGCTTAATTCTTCTACTACTTATTGATTTGATAAAAATTGAGAATAATGACAACTATATGAGAGACTATAATCGAGTTGAATTCTTATAACAATAATAACCAAATTTATCAATCTTAATTGATTTCAAGTGGTATGAAGAAACGATATTAGTGTATTTTTTTTGTATATTGGCTAAATTTTGGAAAATTCTTCAATTATATTTTTATCTTGTGTCAATGTAAAATCAAGATTTTCTTATCACATCCAAAGTTTGGCAAAAAAAAGTATTCAGTATTAAAACAATAGGATCGAATACCATGAGAAAAAGCTTTTCGGAAAGATGTTTTGATAACATTCCAAGAAAAGACAAAAACATTTGAAACTATATGAAAATTATTTGTCTATGATAAATGTCAAAAGGCAATATGGGTGTGGGTAATAATATTTTCTGTATTCCCCTACACCCACACTCACACTCACACCCTATTTCCATCAATATATAACAAAATTTGTGAAACAAAGATTTAAAAAAAATATACGAGTAACTATTGGTAGTAATAAACTAACAAATCTTCTGGTAAATAAACATTCGAGACGACAGGATAGATGTTGTAAGATTAAGAATCATCTGTATGATACGAAGGGTGTCAGCGAGTCCATGCGGACTCTCTCGTCAGTCTTTTTTCTGTAAGACCTATTCATAAAACCTGATATTGCTTTTGTGCATTGTTAGAAGACTAACGACTAGCAAAGAGATCGCTGGGAAAATGATAAGTATTAACGTAGCAAAAAACGAAAAACAATGTTGTGGGTCCGATCAGATCCACAAAAAAACGTTCGAGGGTTAAATACTGATAATGATCAGTTTAATCGAGAATCTTATTCAGAAAACAATGCACAAATTACAAGTGCAATAATGAAAACTCAACACTACCAGCTGACCTTGAAAATCACGCCAAAAACTAAAAAAGTCAATTATGAAATATCAGTTAATCGTATTTTGCGTGATTTAGTACATTTTATAATAAAGATACTCGTTTTGTGAAATTTTCTTTAGTTACAGAATATAGACTGTTTTTCTTATGGATTTAATCGACTACACCTAGAGTTATTGACTTGCTGCTCTACGTCAGTTGTAGTTGCTGGAATTAAATACAATGATCCAGTGAAATTTCATAAGACAGGATAGATGAATCATAAGGGATTGAGACAAATCGCCAAATTTTAGACTACCTCACCCTCATCTTCCTGTAGAAAATGTTCACTTATTTCTCGCTGAGGTGAGACGGTGTCAGTCGGTAGTTTGCGCCTCTCTAATCCGAATCTGAAATCGATTTCTTGACAAAGAGAATTCATATTTGTGATCAGTTTCTCAAAATTGTGTTCTTGATTTTTTCGCTGAAGATAGGCAGCTTTGGGACAGTTACCAGGTTCCTTTTAAGTTTGACCAATGGTATTTGGGGGTGGAGGTTTCTTGAACGAGAAATACAGTACCTAATTTCGAGAATCTGATTGAAGATTCGGATTTCTCGACCTCGATTACTTTTGATCAAACTTCATAAAAGAATCATTATTTGCTCAAAACACCTTTCCCTTAGTGAAAAAGTCGAGTACCGAATTTTGAAAAGATATTAAAGTATCACTCCTATGCTTATTGTGGGATCTGATTAGATTCTATGAGAAAGCGTTTTGAATGGATCATCAGATCAGAACTAGAACCGATTTTGTTAACCTCTAGATATAAGTAGAAGCTCTAGCTATGAAAAACACACAAGTACAAAGAAGTGCATGGAAGTATGAAGTATCATGTTTCCTTCTTGCTCTCTTCTATTGTACTGAATAGATTTATATTTGCACCATTTATCAATACTGATCTCTAGTTGAATTACACCTTTGTTCAGGTACAAATGAAATATCAATACTGACTGATGAACGTCTCACCAGTTAGAATTTTAACTTTGCTTAGATAAATCAAGATTTTGTATGTAATATTTACATGAGATACATACATAAAAGTTTTCAAGACACTATGTAATAATTTCCAGAAAATATTCTAGATATTTGTAAAACAATCGCATAAGTATATGTCAGCTAACAAGTTTCTCGTAACATTAGAGTAGAAGTTACTCGGGGTTCTTGAAAAATGACTACTTCATGAGTAATCTAGTAAACTCACAAATGAATGTTTTAACCGTGTACCATCTGTCTATTTCAAGTTCGAATGTTCTTCGAAAAACTCGATATAATGAAAAGTTCAAAGTTTTAGCAGATCAGGAGCGATTGATAAAATGAAAATATTATAAAGAACATGATTTATAGATAAATATCATTTCAAAAATATCTATTCTATGCATACAAGATCGTAAAGAAATGAAAAAAATTAAAGTTAATTATTAAGTTAAGAAATAACAAGATCGAAATCATTTAAATTTATTTCAAGTTAAATCTTCTTCATTTTTCAATTCTTTTTGTATTTAAATTTATTTTGAAATAACAGGAAAATGACATCGGTATTCACAGTGAACAGCCTGTCCTGCTAAAATGGGCCATGCTTGGCTAAAGTTGCGCAGAAGATTTCTCGAGCATGTGGCAACCGAATTCATTTATTCAAAAATTTTTTATAGGTTTTCGTATATTCCCTATCAATTGATATCATTCATTTTGAAAAAGAACGAGAATAAATGGTAGTCACCAGCCAAAATCAAGTGTTTTTGGTGCGAAAATGGTGAAAAAAGGGCCTTACTGTCCACAATCATATTTCGGGCAGTACGTGTTCATTTAAAAAGATGGAAATAATAGTAGTACTATCGAAGATTGAACTACTATTTGACATCAATAGATCATCTCGTTCTGTTGTTAAAGCTATAAAAAAATGTGCCTTTTTAGAGAGCTGAAAAAAAATCGATGAGTGCGTTACCAAGTGCTGAGTGCGTTACCGTAATGATTTGGTAATAATTGTTTGTGAGAACAAACTTTCAAAAAAAGAATTTTATGATTCAATGGTCTAATGTCTTGGCGTCATACACAAATAAAAATATTTTCTTTCGAGCGAGTAACTTGCCAGGAATATGAACTTTTTTGGGGTCACTCTCATGAAAGGGTCCTTTTGAATGAGTGCGTTACCACGCTTTTCAGTCCTTCTAGAATCGTCACAATTCGAGCAAATGAAATGAAAATTTTAGTGGAACTACAACTTCCATATATCTTACTGAAGTATAAATTTCAGCTGGTTGTCATATTGTTTTGATGACTTATGACAACTCGAAAGTCAAAAAGTAGTGAGTGCGTTACCTGTGGACACGCTGTGAACTTCGCCAATGTCACACGTTTGTTCACACTCCTTCTTGTGTACAGTGGTACTAATAGAAAAAAAAAGATGACAGTACTCAACAGTTTTGATTTCAGCTATTGATGATTGCAGAGAGCATTTTCTAACGAAATTCAAATTATTTCTTAGAAACAATCCACGTTTCTTGAGAAAGAAAATAGTTTAAGAATACATTTAACTAATAAAAAACTTTTTTCAGTGATACCTAGAATGAAAATGTATCATATAAGTGAGAGATCATTTGAGCTCTGTGGCTAGTACAGACGCCACTCCCATGAACATTATGAGATCACATCGTAATGGACTTAAATCTGTCATCTTTAACGGACTTGAAAAAATATTCACTAGTTTTGATATTACGCATGAGTTTACAATTGTTTAAAACCAATCGTTAGTTATTTTCAGTAGTTGTCATGCATATGTGTATGTTATATCCCCAAGAAACTAAAATGTACATGGAAATGAGTATTAACGTCTGAATTTTCTTGGAATCTTTCACAAGATTAAACATCCTGGGTATCGAACGTTCAGTTGTTATATATGACTAATCCTAGAAAATAAAGTCAATGAGCAAGAGAGCATTTTCTTCACTGTTAATTGTATTGAATTGCTTTTATTGATAAAAAAAAAAAAGTAAAAAGAATATTTCGTAGTAATATAGGTAAGTGAATAAAACTAATAAATGAATGAAATTTGAGTTATAAATGAAAAATAAAGATTGAAAACTAGCAAGTATTAAAAAAAAATGAACGAAAAAAAGAGATTGTCTGATTATTTAGTGTTAATTTTAGCAGCGCATGCGTCGTAACAATTGTCAAATTCTTCTAATTCGAAGTTAATACAACTCCACATGCAAGCCGTCTCCTCTGGGGAATAGTCCCATTTCATTTCTCGTTTATTTTCTCCACGTTTTTCAGAATGTAATTTGAACTGGCGTTGAGCCATGTTGTTGGATTTGCGTTGATCATTGTTTAGAAGTTCGCGCAATACTTGACGTAATTCAAGATCTGTCTTATGATTGAATAGTGACCGCTTGTGTTTGGGAACACTCTCGACTTTCATGATGTACAGAGCAACCAACATTAGAAGGATTACAAGAATGGCGGTACGCATGTCAGCAGATAATTGTATGAGTTGAAAACAGAGTACGAAAAAACTACTGGTACGTTTGTGTTTACACTTTACAGTGCAGAATACGTCTCTCACTATTTGAATATATATAAATATACAAGTAGATGATTGTATATAAGTGAAAAAAAAGGAATGAATATAAGAAATAGAAAAAGTAAATCATTCGAGTGTGACTTTCTATGGTGCATTTTATTTTACTGCTCTAAAGAAAAATACAGAAACGCAAAAAAAACGAGCTTTTTTTTCGTGCAGTCTAGCTAATTAACGTTTGTCAAAG